CTTTTCTAGCTTCACTGCAGGAGTCAGACATAAAAGCCATCAAAGCTTTGGCCACATCGTGTCAGTTGTTTAGAGGAGTGCTGATACAAGAAGTACTGCGTGCATCGAGGGAAAAAAAAGCATTTTTTCTTAAAGCTTGGTGGCATGGACCGTATTAAAAAATAAGACAAAGGGTAGCTCTTCAGGTAGCAATCTGTTACGCAAGGTGAAATCAAAGGGCAGGTTTCAGTCATTAAACATCTATGGACTAGTTTGGTCAATTTGATGTCGTGCTTGTTTCGCCAAATTTGCACTCAAATAAAACATGTTCTTTCTTGCTTTATGTAGTCTCTAAATTTGCACATCATTAAAAACATACGTCGGAGGTCGGTCGAAAAGGCTTTCTGTAAATGATAATTGGAAACTGCTTAAGGTTTTAAACAAGATGTAAGATGCCTTAAAAAGAGAAGAAAACTCAATGTTACACTAATTAGCTAACGGATACTAAAACAGCTAAACAAAACTGCTATGAATTATTAAATAGCATCTTTAAGAAAGCTAAAAGTAAAGTAAAACGGAGGAAATATTAAAAATGTCAGGTTATATCAAAATTATCCTCTGGTATTCTAACAAAACAAAAAAAAAATAGACAAAGGGTAAAAGAGCGGGGTTTTGGCTAAATAAAGTTTATATATTATCAAAACAGCAAATGGTAACATACCATTTGAACTAATTTTATTAAAAAATAATTTAAATATAAACCGGAAACAAACAGGCAAGGAAAGAAGATTGTCAAAAAAAAAAAAGTCTTTTGAGAGCTTCAAGGACAAAATTGACTGCATGAAGCATTAGTTCTTTTATTATTCAATTTTAGTGACCAGAAGCAGCAGAGGGCGAGATGAAGTCGATGATGACGTTATCAGAAAAATAACATCCATTGACGTCAGTGTATCCGTAACGCTCTCTCTCTCGTTACGCAGATGACACATTGTTCTTTTGTTTTTTTTATCATTCAGCCCATTTCAACAGATTAGGTCTTTTTGATAAAACCTATTTGACTGTACTGTTCACTAACTAGTTATCTTACCATAAAGTTACTGACTGTGACACCAGACTGGACTTCAGTTGTCATGAAAATGTCCCCTACCTACACAAATGAATAAATATTTAAACAATTCCATAATTTTCCTCAATCTCCATCTTTTATTGGTCTTACACAGCAGTTTTTTTTTTGTACATTTAAGTGTGATTGCGAGCTGAATCAGCAACGTTTGCTTTAACTTATCACAAGGAAAAAAGCACTAACAAGTTTTTGATGCTGGAGGCATTTGAACATTATAAACTATGAGAAACACCAGCCATTATCCCAACAGAACTCTGAGTTCTGTTGGGATTTTATGCCTGGCTCTTTTTCTTTGGTCTTTTTGCATACAGTGCTGCAAAAATGTTTTGGTTGGAGCTGTTTGATAACCATGACAAATTCTTCAACGGATGCTCCTTCAGGTTATTCCAAAGTGAAATTTCAAGTCTGATTATTTAGTCCAATGAATTTGCCAGTATTAAATTAAAGCCATTCTTCCCGCTGCCTTTGCCACTGGCACCGACATAAACCCAAAACAGAATCAATCCAGCGCCTCAGAGTGTTTTGACTTTAATTTTGGTTCCTTTTCTCTGTTGTTTGTTGTGTCCAAAAAAAGTTTGTTTCCCAAGGTGTTAAAATCTCTGTGACCAGTTGTGAAATGTGCTGGGCGACGTTTGGACGTCTTTCAGACCGACTGCTCACGAAGGTCGTATCTGCGTAGACGAGCCAGCACAGTAAATCAGTGCTTAAATGATTTACATTTTGAGTGACATTTTGAGCAGTTCTTTTACTTCAGACACCTTGATCTCAACATTTTTTAACATTCTTTTCACAGAGAGGACAGTAAACTATCCTTTCCACTGTCCTCAACTGTCCTCCTGAAAGTCTTATCCTCTAAAGCATTGGTTCCCGAAGACAAATTTCATAAATAACTAGAGTTTGCGCGCCAGGGGTATTATCGCCACCTATTGTTCAGAGGTGTGAAAAGGAAAGATCTTTCTTCACTTTTTTTTGCCTTGACCACTGAAAACCACTGTGAGCAACTTTTGTGTCGAGACCCTGCAGTTAAGAATCTTCTCAATTTATTATTTTTTTTTTCAAAACCTTATTTCCTTCTGGGGACTAAAGGTGTCCCAGCCCTTCTGTATACCAAGGTAAGGCAAGTTCTAAGATGTGCAATAAAATGGGTCAAATAAAGGTTTTTCAATAAATTTTTTTTAATTCTATGGAGATTAAAAACAACTTTTTAATCACTGGCATGTAAAAAGCCGAGTGACAGATTTCATTTTCACACCAGTTTGAAGAAGTGTATCTTTTCTAGAAATGTCTTTTATAGATAACGCTCCAAACCCACTCGGTGACGCGCTATTTCAAACTCCAAAGCAGGATATTCCTCGAGCTGTCACACACACACACACACACACACACACACACAAAAAAATAATCCCTACATCCAGATGCCTGACCCTGGTATCAGAGAAGCTGGGACTACGTTACATAACCCCAAAGTCCTCTTTTCCTTGACAGCATATAGAGAATCCNGTATCAATATGCACTGCGTTGCTTTCAGTGAGAAGAAGAAAGAAAATACAAATAAGCAAATAAACCAGCACGCATGACCAAATCATGCTTATTCAATGAAGAGAAACTAGGACAGATAGATCGCTCTTTTTATTTATTTCTTTTTCTCCCCCCCCCCTGCAGTTTAATATATTCTCCCGCGCCTGGCATAAAACCGCAGAGCTCCTCTCCATCACCGGCAAATACGAGATTGAATTTTGAGAGAGAGAAAGAGAGAGAGAGAATACGGGGAGAGGGTGTCGGGAGATAGATAGAAAGATTGCAGTTGGAGTGAGAGCCAGGCAGGAGGTGGTGAGGGTCATGAAACTAGTAAATCTGTTCATGCAGGCGTATTGGCTCAGGGGATGTGTGATTTCTTTTCATATTCCCCCTTACACACACCCCCCCACCCTCTTTAAAAATATTGTAAAGACAGGGAGAGACAGAAATTAAATAATGAAAGCGTTTGCCGATGACAAGCTCTTTTATTGCTGATATTAAATATCTTCTTAAATGCGTTTAAATGTATTGTATTTCTCCTTCCCCCATTTCAATATCACCCTTCACCCCCCCGCGCTTCTTCATCCTTCATTCTTGAATCATGCACTGCAGTGAATCAGTGGATACAGGTGATATGAGACTGAGAGCGGTCTCAGTGACCTGACAACATTCCCACTCCTCCAATCTCTTCAATCTCTGACCCAAGAAATATAAATGGGACATTATCCAGCCTATCCCATCGCAAACACACACAGTCACACTTTGGTGGTCATCATCACTCCCACTTCTTGCCAAACACGACCGCACACCACTCGTTCACGGTGGTCCTACGTTACCCCACCAGACCCTGGCTGTAGTTACACAAACACAAAACTCAGTGAAAGAGAAATACGGTTGCTTTAAAGTTTTTTAACTGGAGACATATCTAAAAAAAAAAAAATGTCTCCATGGATCAAAAACTTTTATACAATATTTACAGTCCTTTGTGTGACAGGAGATATTTTCAAAGTCACTCATAAAACCACATTATGAATAAAATTAGTGAAAAGATTTTAAATATACTTATGCATGGAGGAAATTGTAAATGGAAACTGTTTTGAATGATCGCACTGTTCGGCATCGTGGAGTTTTTACTAATCGGGCCATACATCAACTTATTACATAAGAGTCGACAAACAAACACTGCTTTTCCTTTTTACTTTATATCATTTACTACTGTTGTAGCCTTTTAGCAGGCACTTAACCACAGCTTTGTTTACAACCACTATTGATAGAAAAAAAAGAGTCTTAAAATGTTTTTTTTTTTGGGGGGGTAGAAAAATACATTTTTTTGTCAGTCCCAAAGTTATTTACATTAAAAACATTCAATTACATTAAATTAATAATATTAATATTCAGGACTCAAGGATGTGTTTTTGGAATGTCAAAGTGATTGTACATTACAAATACCCCAGAAAATGGCAAAATTTAATCCTCACTGAGAGTGCAGCAAAAAAAAAAAAAAAAAAAAAAAAAAAAAAAGTAATGGATGAAGCAGAACTGATCTGATGGTGAGTCAACGGAAATGTTCAGAAGCGGAACCAAGGGTGAATCAATTTAGTGTCGGATGGGATCCAGAAGTTGTTGAACTTGTTAGCCTGTTACACTAACATATCTGGCCTCGGTTCTACGGGATGTCGTGTCTGTGTAGGTACTCAGTCATCCAGGTCATCTTATCCACAGGCTTCTTCAGTTCTGACTGACTACTGCGACCTTGTCAGTCAGTCAGAACTGAAGAAGCCTCTTGGATGAGTCCGTTCAGTTACCCTCGATGTAACTATTTTTGAACAGGATATTGTGCAAAAAAATAGCCTGTTCAGTATTAAAAGTTTGTTTTTGACATTTTTTGACAGATGCCAGACACAGTCGGGAAAATACGCTGTGTAAAAAGCAGTGATCAAGCAGGAACTAGAGACACGGAGAAAACGAGGCCTTAAATGTATGTTGGTACCTTCACGTGTGTCACCAGAGAGTGGTCATTAAGTTATTAACCAGCTTCTAAAACACAGGGAACTCCGTATTAGGATAATGATACATTTAGTCAAAGTTACTTGTAAAATATTACCACCTCCATTCAGAATCAAACCCAACGAGGCTTCAGCAGTGAGAGCTCTATTATACTGCGGTGAATAGGGGGAGTAAAACTGTCTCCTCTGCTGTGTCAGTGTAGTCGACTACAACTGCAGGCAGACAGGCTTTAGCTGGAACTACTGTGACACAATGGACTTGATGTCAGAGAGATAAATGCAAGAAAAAGCAAGTCATGACAGAGATCACAGAGGTGGAGGTTGGAAATGATGGCGTACACAGTTGTGGGCATGTGTGTGTGTGTGTGTTATACCTCAGTGTGTGACACTGCACCGCATCTCATCAGTATTCTGACTGCGTGTCCCGCTCCTGCAACGCCTTACAGCCGCCCGTCTCCATGATGCAAAGGATGCGCGTGTTCATGCGCAAAGTCTGTGGACACACACGGAAGATGATGTCACCTGTGTGACATGGACATAAAAACACCTGATGGCAGGGTCCTCTAAGCTTTTCCCTCAAGAAGGCCGAGACTTATCAGTGAGAAATGACCAACTGGCTAACTTTTTTTTAGGATATACAAAATAAAAAAAATAAAATAAAAAAATTAACCAGCTAATTCACTGTTTACTGTCCAGTGAGGCCTTGTTAAAAAAAATAGCCCCAATATGTTGACAATGTTGACAGACCTACAGTACAGTAGAGTACATACAAAAAACAGTGGAGATCTTCTGTTAGCAAAGCAGTTAGCCTGAAAATTTAGAAAAATAAATAAGCCATCTAAAAATATAAATATAGTAAAGTAAACATTAACCAAAAATGCTAAAACAAGGATAGCTAGGTCAAAAGTACTTACAAGTTAGCATAAAAAAAAACATTATGAAAATGTCAAATGGTAGCTAAATATATTTGAAGTATTCCATGAGGTAAATAAACAAATAAGCTATTGCATGCATGCCAAAATTGAAAATATAAAGTTGAATAAAAATTATAAAAATATATTTCTGGATTCACATACAAGAAGGTTACAAACTCTAGAGAGCTGTACTCCAGAGCTATCAAAACAAGTTAAAGAATTAAATCGAGTTAAAGCTAAATTCAACAGTTCAATAGTTGCCCATTAGCTACCTGTTTTTAAAAGTTTATTCTGCAGGTTTTGATTTTTAACATGACAATGTGAAAGCAGGAGATGATCACATTTAAATTTCATGCTTTTTAAATCCAGCCTGAGGGTTGTACTACACAAACCCCAGGTGGAGTTCCCAGCAGTCTATTGGGGAATTTTTATGAAGCACTACATGCAAATGTGGTTTATACATATGATAATGTTCTGTGCAAAAGGGACTGAGCTGAAGTAAGTTGTGAAAGTGAGTTCTCGTTGCAACTTGGTAGACATAAATAGAAGACTTCTACTGGCCTATATCTGGTCTACTGGAAGACCACACCTGGGCAACACACTCCAACTGAAGCCAACTGTCTTCTGTCTCTAGTCTGAAACACCAGGACCAGAAGACGACCATGTTTGGTCATAAATATTATTCCCATTGAATTCTGAATTCTGGATACTTGTGCCACCAAATGTTATCAGTCTAGTTGTTCTGGTTATTGCGTCACATCACAGAGCACAGTTGGTCTGGTCTGACATGTTAGATAGTGTTATTTTATGAGTTCATTTATAGAAAGTTTATTGCTGTACATTGAAAATTAAGTATCCCAAATACAGTACCCAGGATTTAAACCACTCTTAACTATTCTGCTTGAGTTCCTTTTGGGGTTTTGACAGGAAGCAAAAGTGTGTCTCACCAGCAATAGTATTGCAAACCAGAATGTAGACTTTTATTACCAACCCCAGTTTGGGATACCCCATATGTCACAATCTGCTATTTGGATTTCATATTGAGTTCTTTGTGTGGCCCATCAAACAACTATAAAGGAACAACAACAACAAAAAAAAGCTTGACCAAGTAGTATGCTCTGTGGTCTGTTTAGCCATAGCTAACAAACCCTTTGCCTCCCGGGCAGTTTGGGAGCTGCTCTTACAAGTTAACCCTAAAAAGTGAGGGTATCTCACCACTCAAACTCTGACTAAATAATCAATGCTAACAACTTCAGCCACTTAACTGCAGCCATGTGCTGGTGCCTTAGCCTTTTCCATAAACAGGGTCAACCATGAAAGATCCAAGAGAGGCCTGTCACGCAGAGAACAGAGAATCACAGAGCTGTGTAATTAGAATCGATAATTCATTTTCCCCTATTCTGCCACCGTTCCATTCAAACGACACCGTGAGCTTTTTCACAGCGCTTCCAAATCTCTTAAGGGTCACAGTAATTGGAGTGCGATTTTTTTTTTCTCTCCCATTCACCTCGCCAAAATCACATCAGGTAGACCCACAGAACGATATTCTTCTTGGTGTAATTGTCTTTGCTTTGTAGAGTTCCTGCTGCTCTTTTTCAGTTATTGTTCTTGTACCGAGGTTGATTTGAGAACCAGCAATGTCTTCTAGTCACAAAAAGGTGCACGTCACCACGCTATTTATCCCTGCAGCCATTCTGAAGCCCATTACAGGTCGGGAACCCTGATGTTCGCAGTCAGCAGGTTAGCAATGAGACTCAGATTTCTATGTGAAGTGGACGGAATTATTCTTCAGGTTCTTCACCTGGATGGTGACTAATCGCCGTCAAATGAGCAGCATTGTGCGAGGTTGTTCGTGGCTACGTGCGTTTGAGCAAAGGAAATGACACCCTGCTGGTCAAGTAATGACCTTTAATTACACGTGTTCATTCTCATTTCCCTCAAACTTCCTTTATTTCAGTCATGTCACATTCAGAAATGTTGAAATGTGTTTTGGTCCAGCAGAACAGAAACATAGGCCTGTAACATGTTAGGGTGCTTAACCTGTATTTACAGTAGCACAAAGAAAAGACTTTCAGTTGTAACAGTTAGTCAGTAACAGTCAGTCAGTTGTTAAATATAAACGTTCGTTAGAATCATGAAAAGCTGGGGCATCTACATTTTATATGTTCATTATTCCAATTAAATAACATGAATTTTAATATAAATATCCATGTCAAGAGTATGACGTCAGAAGACCAAGACAGCTTTACATTTATTGGTTTGAATGACATCATCAATTCGTAATCTATTGACAATCAATTATGTTCCGCACCACTAGTTGTCGCCCTTTCTTTCTATGGTTTGGACAATTTTAATAACAGAACTTATCCATTTAGAATTAGAACTGAACCAGGGATATAAAGAAAAACCTGTACTACTATACATGTCCTAGAGTATTTTGACAGCAACATCATGATATGGACTCATAACACCAATTTTCACAGTTGCAATCACACATCCCACTCTCATCACCACAACAGTTATAATAATGATTGGAAGAGTTGTCATTATCACCATTATCTAGTATTGGCCCCACCAATCGAATCACCATTATCACCACTGTCAACACTGTCACACACACAGCCCACATCACCATAGACTTGATAAGTGGATCACTCTGAGCCTGTGTCAGGCAGGAGATTGCTTTGGGACACTTTGAAGATCATGGAACCTAAACATGCTTCCACACATGCACACGTCGAGCCGCACATTCCCATCTGTGGGTGTCACCCACAGAGACACCGATAATGGCGACTGTGAATAGCTTCTCTGTCACACCGCCGTTCCCTTCTCCTCTGCCTGGGATTTAATGTGACAGTTATAGCTTTTCCATGGCTTAGTATCTCACATCAGCACCCCCAACCCAACACCAGGTGACCACGCCTGAATGGAAATGAGATGGTCATCTGTCAGCGACAGCCTTCAAACCAGTGGAAGACTGACAAAGTGAGTGGGTGAAAGATTGAGGGAGATACTGGGTTATGGAGAGAGAGAGAGGAGGAACTCTTCAGATGCTTCATAATGGGATATTCCCCATCAACGATGCCTTTATCTGGATACGTCGATGCAAGCTGGATGGGCTAACATGGCAGAGAATACAAATGTGGACCAACATTGATCATTTCCATTTTCATCTTCGCTTCATGAGGAGATAAACTGCTGAGTGAGAAGCTGGTCAGAGTAGGACTCAGGGATCTGTACAGTTGAAGGAATCAACACAACTGAGTACTGTACGACAGACCCCAACGGAGGGGAACCTCGTCACTGTGGTTTATTTTATGTCCTAGATTGGCAAGGTGTGGCACTTTGGCCCAGAGGCAATGTCTCACCTCCTGGGGAAGATTGAATCCCGGTTAGGACGGTTGGCACCTTACAGTGGACTCCTCACCTGCAGGAAGGTTCAGGGGGGTTGGTACAGTGCAGTGTGATTTGGATGGCGGTCATAGAGACTGCTGCCCCCAGGATCCGGTAACAGATGAAAATGGATGGATGGATTGGTAAGACTCGGATCCAGTCACAGCCCAGACCAATATCAACCTTTCGACCACCACATCTTGTCTGATTTATCACAAGCGCCCAAAGGTGGCGAGCTTCGATGTCAGGCCCTGTTGGGTTGGTATGTGAACTCAATGTGACCCCAATGTAATGATTACAGCCGTCACTGTGACCCATGTGGCCACACAAACTTTCTGAACCACGCAAAGAGCCTGGTCCAATTAAACAGCCAGTCAAAGCTTCAACTGCACAGTATTCATAATGATGAACTCATTTAAACATGTATTAATTTGAATACCAACACTATTCTATTTGCTAATTTTTTTCCACCTGGAACAGAGACACTGTCCTCCAACAGAGCATTGCTGTGTGAGGTATCAATTACCTGCTGAAGCCCGAGGGTCAGCGACTTCAGTCAATGAGTGTTTAACACTCTCTCCAGAATATTAAACATTATGAGTCTGTGGTTGCCCCGGTGGCCTCCAGGTTAGAGGACAGACCATGAATGTCCCTGATTCTGGCCACAGTTATTTACTGCAAGTCATTCTGCGGGTACATTCACCAGCAGGCCTGGTCTAGAGTCTGGCCCAGAAACTACTCACAGAACAGAAGCAGGGTTTTATCAAGTCCTCCCTAACAATAAACTATTTTTTGTTAAACCTGTGAATTATGTGCCATTCACTTGGTTGATGTTGAGGGCACTTTTTAGCTAGCTTCCTGGTTTAAAACATGGTATCTTTTGATTTGTTTTTGCTCAACATTTGATATTTTGATGCTAACTTTAGCTTACTTTGCTACTCTGACTACATTTAGCCTCTATTAAATGTTTTTATTGTGACAGTCTTGAAGCCAACATTTTAAATCACATTTTTTTCATCCTTTGACTCATTACATAAAGTTTTAATTGTGTTAGCTTTACTTACAGCCTCAATCTTTGTTATTTCTTAATAATGTCTGGATAACTTTAGGCTAGGTGTTTAGCTGGACCTTCCCTAAATTATGTTTGGTCAACCTGTAGCTTAGATATGGTTTTGCTCTGTTTTTG